TCTTTTCTTTTTTTAATTGTATTTTTTTATTGCTTAAAGTATTACAAAGGGTATTACATATGTATCCTTTTTTTCCCCCCGCCCTTGACAGTCCCCTAGCCTCCCCTATCCCCCAGTGCCTTATGTCCATTGGTTATGCTTATATGCGCATGTATCTGTCCCAACACCATTTATTGAAGAGACTGTCTTGACTCCATTGTATGTTTTTGCCTCCTTTGTCAAATATTAATAGAGCATTGTGTTTCAGGTCGATTTCTGGGCTCTCTATTCTATTCCATTGATCTATATGTCTGTTCTTGTACCAGTACCAGGTAGTTTTGAGAACAGTAGCTTTGTAATATAGCTTGATATCTGGTATTGAGATCCCACCCTTTGTTCTTTCTTCTTTCTCAGGATCGCTGCAGCTATTTGGGATCTTTTTTTATTCCAGATGAATTTTTGGAGAGTTCGTTCTAGGTCTGTGAAATATACCATTGGTAGGTTACGAAATTTTATTAAAACGTTTCTTACATACTGTTATATTGGCTGGGCTACAAAAATATTTGTTGTGGGCTGCATGCGGCCTGCGGGCCACAAGTTTGACATGCTTGCTGTACAGTGTCTGGGCAGGGGGTCCTGTGCCAGGTGAGGCTGTAGGTGCCTGTATAGGATGAGGTCTGGACTTAAAGCAGAGGGTCAGGACAGGTGCCCCACCACAGGTTCAGGAAAGGATTTTCCATGTAAGTTCAAGACTGAGGTTCATGTTGAGAGTTGGGTCACAGGTTCCTGTGGACTCTGTGGGGTAGGGTGTGAGGTAGGGATTGTTGTGCAGAGTGACATCCGGGGCCATTGTCAACAATGTAAGCAAGGCTCCTGAACTTAATCGGGATTCCCAAAGAGTTTACAGATGGGGCTTTCTTTAAAAACAAAACAAAACACACACACATATTTTTATTGATTCAAAGAGGAAAGGGAGAGGGAGAGCGAATAGAAGCATCAATGATGAGAGAGAATCATTGATTGGCTGCCTTCTGCATGCCCCACACTGGGGATTGAGCCAGAAACCGGGACATGTGCCCTGAGGACGAGCTGAAGGGAGGCTGTTCTGTTGATGCTCAGCCACTGAGCCACACCGGCCGGACTAGAGTATTTTTTCAGGTGTTCATGAAGGAAGCACCTGAGCCTTCCAGCTGTTGTTGACCACAGTGAGCACTCAGGAAACGGTGCTGCTTGCGGTAGGAGCCTCTGGGCAGTGTGGGGCTAAGCCACGGAGCCTGGCTCAGCCCTGTGCCACCAGCTGTGTGGCCTTGGGAGAGACGCTTAACCTGTCTGGGTTAGGATGTCACCTGATTCCACGCATGCTCCGATGTGAGGGTTTGTTACATGGAAGAACAGATTCCACTTTAGGGGGAGCAGTTTACCCAGGTGAAGGGATGTGTTGGGGAGGGAATTGGCACTGTGGGGAGATCTCCCCCCGGGGTCTAAATATCCCCCCTAGAGGTTATTCTGTTTCCTAAATCTCCCCCTCCTTCTCTACCATTTCCCACAGTGCTGCAGGCCGAGCTGGCTAAGAGATAAGAAATGAGTGACAGGAAGGCCCATGGACAACCCCACGGTCCCAGACCGGCCTCTGCCCTTCTTGCTGGCTGCCTTTCCAGCCCCACTCTTGCCTCCCATTCCTGTCCTGAACATGTCTTCTGTCCCCTGGAGGTAGGTCCCTCACTTGCACCTATATATATATTGATACCTCCACAAACAAGTGTACAGAGCTGCTCACGCTGTCAGCCACTCGGAGGCACTGTGACAGGGCACAGGATATGCGATACGCTCACATACACATGCTTGCACACAAGTGCTGCCCTTGCCAGACCCACAAAGACCCCCTGACATGCAGTACCTCACAGTCCTGGGTGAGCATCCCAGAAATGTTTATTGAGCAAATTCTGTGCCCAGAACACATGCTGTCACACCATCTCAGAACAACCCTGCACAACCACATGATCACAACCACATGAGCACAACCTCACATGTGGCCTCAGCGCACTATGTCTTATCATACAGTCACTTGTGCCCCGTTTCTCACAGTTGCCTGGTGTCGTGCACACCGTCTCTCAGAACCTCAGCCCCATGGTCACTACCTCACAGAGCAGTCAGCCACCACACACAGTCTCTGCCCATGACGTGTGCATGTACACGCCATATCGTACACCCTGGTTGCTGTCAAACGTGGTCTCACA